ACAAATACATCGAGGCAAGTACACGTACCACATTCTCCCAGCATGCACCAGCATTCCAGTTTACCAACGGCTCATATCTAACACGTCAAACCGTCACCGACTCAATCAGAACCCTCCTCATGCAAGCAGGGATCCCGAGTGGAGAAATACTCATCACACAGCTTTCGTGCTGGAGCCGCCACAACAGCCGCCGAGGCCAACCTTCCCGACTGGCTCATCAAGACCCTTGGACGATGGCGCAGTGACTCATACCAGCTCTACATTAAGACTCCAGCCACAACCCTTCATGCAGTGCCAAGGATCCTCGCCAACCACACCGAACCTCAGAACTAAGCCAACCAACTCACAATGTTTTTCAAACAATGCTATTGAGACATTCTATTCATTCGCTGGCTCTGCTTGTATTTCACTTGCAATCCACACTAGTCATTTTTACATTTACCAATCATCTCCGATCGACATTATAGATCTTTTGTTTCAATTGTTATTCACTTGCAATTTTTATTTGTAATTTTTTAATTTTACTACATTGTAATTCCTGCTCTGTAACCATGTACTCATATCCCATGCAGGCTCTCCACATTCTAGAACAAGCGATGCTTTCCTCAACACATCATGCGAATTGTTCAATTCCACCACCTCCTCTTTAATTTGGGGGAAATGCCACACAGAGCATGCTGGCTCTGGTCAGGTACGACGTTGCCCTTACCATGACATGGTATAATATATCTACGTCTCCTGTCATGGGGTCGGCCGCTACGACGCCTGATGCAGAGCCACTGTGTCGGCAGGTGTTACTCGGGTAGCATGCGTCGCCACCTCATAATGAGGATCACTATGAGGTGACACGTGACAACGCCTAGTGTGACATTCACTTCCCCCATTTCAAACGGCAATCCTGTCTCATGTGTCATTTCTTAGCATTAATAATACTTATAAACTCCTAAAGAAGATAAAAATGGTCATGTATAACGAAAAACAAATATGAAAATCTTCTGACTTTGTCAAATAGCAAGGAATTCTTAAACTCACCAATTTTGAATCCTCTTTGCCAACTAAACGTTACTTTCTTGCAACTGATGTTAATCACTTCAGTGTCATCATTTTGTTCAACAACTTGTCCTATCATTTGGGCATCTCGTAATCGTTTATTTCTCTTCTCTTCAAGTTCCTTTAATGCATTTCTTACACAATGTATCTTATCTTGTTTTTCCGCTTTACTTTCACTGTCTAAACTATGAAATATGCGCTTTGCTGTGTGCAAAGATGATTCAGATTGGCTGGATGAGCAGCATGATGGTTCTGAAAAACATATACTTATGAATCAATATAATTAGAAGAAGCTGCTTTAGCTATAGTTCTCTAGTTTATTATTCCCCACAGAATTTGTATAGTTAGATACTGTCTAACCTAGACAAAAATGAGTTTAATCACAGTGATTCTAGTCCTTACTGGAGATTTTAAATGGTACAACATTTGGTTGTCTAACAATGTACAAGCGTAATGGGTAGAAGCACTTACTTCACATAGAGCAGTCCCAGTCTTAGTGGATTGTTTGGATAGTCAAGCTAATAAGTCTTCCAATTGTTTTGAAAAACATTGATTAAACACCATCCTCATTCACAAGGGACATAAATAAAACTGAATTAGTTGTGACAACGTCTGACAAGTTGCTGAAGTTGCTGGATCAACAGGGGCTACCTGGAGTGGTTAAGTTGCCAGATCAACAGTGGCTACCTAGAGTGGTAAAGTTGCTG